AAAGCAGTCCCTTCAACATATTTTGCAGTGCTGGTTTGGTGGAGGTGTATTCTTTTAGCCTTCTTTTGGCTGAGAAACTCCTTATTTCGCCTTCCATTTTAATTGAGAGCCTTGCTAGGTAGAGCAGTCTTGGTTGCAGGTCTTTGCTTTTCATTACCTGGAATATTTCTTGCCAATCCCTTCTAGCTTGCAGTGTTTCTGTTGAGAAGTCAGCTCCTTGCCGTACTGGGGCTCCCTTATATGTTACTGCTTGTTTCTTCCTTGCTGCCCTTAGGATTCTCTGTTTGTCTTTGCCATTTGCCATTGTAATGATGATGTGCCTTGGAGTGGGCCTCATTGAGTTCCTCTTGCATGGGACTCTCTGTGCTTCCTGGACTTCTGTACCTTTTTCTCTCCTCCAGCTAGGGAAGTTTTCCATCATGACTTTTTCAAACAGGTTCTCTATCCCTTCCGCCTCCTCTTCTCTTTCTGGTATCCCTATTATACGGATATTATTACGTTTCAGGTTGTCTTGCATTTCCCTCAATGCCTCTCCATTCTTTTTGAGTCTTTTTTCATTTTCTTGTTCTTTCTGGGAGCTTTTTCTACCTTGTCCTCCAGCTCCCTGATTCGGTCCTCAGCTGCATCTAGACTACTATGTTCTTCAATTCAGAAATTGTATTCTTCATTTCCTCTTGTCTCTTATTGATAGTTTCCATGTCCTTTTTCATGCTGATATAGTTTGCAGTAAGTTCCTTGTAGTTTCCCTGTAGTTTTTTTGTAATTCTCTCTGAGGTCACTGAGTTCATTGAGCTTTCTTAGAACCGTTGTTCGGAACTCAGTATCTGATAGTTTACTTGCCTCTGTTTCATTTAGTTCTGTTTTTGGGGATTCCTCCTTTCCCTTCGAGTGAGGTGAATTTCATTGTCTTCCCATTATTTGTGAGACTCTTCTCTTTTGCTTCTGATTCTTAAGTTGATCTGTCTTGATTTCCTGACTTTGTGGTGTGAACTTCTATGGTTGGAGACCGCTGTTTTAACTTTCTGGATCTGCCTCTGATGATGTCAGATGTTGACCCTGTCTGACCTTAGGCAGTCTGTTTGAGACTTCCAGTAATCTACTGTCTGTGGCTGTCTCCTTCAGCTGTTTATCTATTCTCTCTGCACTCAGCAGGCGGCCTTAGACAGCTCAGGGCGGGGCCGAGTCCCTCCTGGGGGCGGGGTTATTGTGTCCTCTCACGCTGCTCTCCTATCGGGGAGGAGTCTGCCCTGGGATCCCACTGACCACTCTCTTCATTCTCTCCCCAAAGCCTCCATCCCCAGTCTCTCATCAAGTGTCTCCAGACCTCTCTGCACCCCCTTTAGCCAGGGATCTGCTGTCTGTGGCTGCCACTCTGCACTCAGCAGGAGGCTTAGACAGAGCAGGGTGGGTTGGAATCTAACTTGGGGCGGGGCTATTGGGTCCTTTGATGCTGGTGCCACTCAGGGGCGTGGTCTCTGCCTGAGCAAGATGGCTGCTGCCGCATGGGGGATGAGTCAGCACAGAGACCCTGCCGGTTACTCTCTCAGTTCTCTCCCCAAAGCCTCCTTCCCCAGCCTCTCCTCAGTCATCTCTAGCCCACTCTGCTCCTGCCTTTGCTGAAGACCAGGGTAAGTAGCTGCAAATAAAAGTTTTACGTTGGCCCTTTAGAAGGTTCTTTGTGTCTCCAACCGCCTGTCTCTGTCAGAAAGCAACCCTGCCGCTTTCGCACCTGGCTGTTTCGTGTGTGGTTTTTGGGCTCTGGTGCTGTGGGCTAGAGATCCCCGCTTTTGGTTTAGACCCCACTCTTCTCAGGGGGATCCAACTGGCCGTTTCAATATCCTTCTGGTGCTGCCGCCCATGGGTGCCCCGCCCGCCTTCTGGAGTCTGTACTTCCCTCCTTACCAGTTAGGTTGTGCTAAAGCCAATTCTTCTGTCTCTGAGATTACAAGGCTCCTCTCTCGCTATTGTTCTGTTGTTTGTTCCAGGTGATTTCTCCACAGTTCAGTTGTAATTCCAGGTTGGTCCTGGGAGAGGTCAGTGTGACTTCCACTCACTCCTCTGCCATCTTGATTCTTGATCTTCACATACTTTCTAATAAGTTGAGCCTCCAAATTCTGCCCCATCATTGACATTAGTGTGTACTGGTAGTCTCCAGTACTATAGCTTTCTGCAAAGTTATTCCTTGTCAGCTTTGATCTGGCACTCTCAAAGTTCATCTGGTATCCAGCAAGCCAGCCCTCCTAACCAAAGACAGTTGAACTATGGATTGCAGGTCCAGCAAAATCAAAGTCAACATCACAACCAAGGTTTATAGATGCCCTCTTATAAAAAGACTTGATTTTACCATTTTTCTTTCCTCTGTATGGGGAAAAGGTGGTATCAAACGTCGGTTTCAGACCTTGACAAACCTGGTCTTCAATTGCAATTTCTGTGCCCGGAGTGTCATCAGTGTTCCACTTCTCTGTGAAGGTCACACCACACTCACACCATTTATATTTGGTGTCCAAGGTACCAGTAACTTTACCAGTGTCTGTAATAGATATTGAGAACTCCAGGCCACTGCATTACTTTGTTTTCAAGTCCAGTCTCACCAACCCAAAGCCAAATCCTTTGTTGAAAATATCTCTGGCAGCTTTGCCAAGGTTAGCAGCATATGATGGAGGGATACACATTAGCCGGGAAGCTCTATCTGTAGGTGGCCAGAGTGTGGCTGCGGGAAATAGTTGTCTCCTGAGAGGGACCATGGCCGCTGCTCGGCCTGCTCCGGGTGGAGCCGCGGGGCCTCAGCTGGAGGGCAAAGTGAAGGAAGGACCAAGCCAAGGACCAACTTAAAGGGAGAATGTAAGGACGAGTGGGTTCTTAAGGCAAGTCTAGCAGGGGGATCTTAATGGTGCTATGCTGAGGTCACCCCATGCTGGGTTCTCCCTGAGGACATTACGGAAGGGGCTGAGAGGACCTGTGAGAGCACTGGGTCCAGCAGTCCTGTGTATAGGTGACCCCTGAGAGCCAGACACACTGTGCATCACACCTGGAGCTCTGGCAAGGGGCTCCATCTGCCCAAAGGGGACAAATTTTTCTGATTTGTCAGTCCAAATGTGACACCTTCATCTAGTTGCCAGGAGCTAAGTGCCTGCCCTCCGGGTTGAAGCAGGGCTCAGCCTCCGGCCAGTCAGAACCACCCATCCTCTGCACAGCCTTGCTCATTAGCCAGCTTCCCTTTCCTCCTTTGCCTGCTGGCGCTCAAGTTCAATGAAATCACCAGGGGCTTCCCCCAGCTACCCTGCGCTGTGAAAGCTGCCCTCCTGCCCAGCTGCCCAGCTGCCCCGGACAGCTGGCTCCACTCATCAGAGGGAGAGGCAGAGTCGTCTGGAGACCACATCACCTCCCCTATCCCCCACCCTCTTCTGCCCAGGGCTCGCGCGGCCACCAATTCTGTGATCCTGGCCAGCACGGCCCAGGCTGCCCTGCCGCTCCCGTTCCAGCAACCTCTCCCCCCTGACATGCAAGATGCCCTGCGATCACTCTGCTACAGCGACTCCGCCAAGGTGGTCCTGGCCTGCAGGCAGCACTTTGGGATCACGAAGGCATCTCTAGGGTCAGGTCCAGCACCACTGGCCTTTGCCGCCATCCACTAGTCGAACCACATCTTCCCCGGCAACACAGGCCTCATCCTGGCCTCCTCCACAGTGGACGACCACTGCGCCCTCTTCACTGCAGTGGACCGCGCACGGTGCATGCGGTCCTGGACCGCCCGGCCGTGGTACACAGACGCCCAGGGAGCAGCGGCAGGCCTGGTGCTCCTTACCCACAGCCAGGCGCTGGAGTCCGGACTCCCATGCCGTGGGCAGCTATCCTGCATTCCCTCCCTACCAGTTTGTGGACGGCACCCAGGAGGCCTGCGGGCCAGAGGGATGCGTCGGCTTGCAAGGAAGCACAGTCCCCGCCCACGGGCGATCAGCACCGCTGTCAAATCCTGGGATGGGACCATGTGCCGGTCCAAGAGGTCACCAGCTTGGCTCTGACAAAGGGCCCCGGGGCCCCAACAGTCCCGCTCCAAAAGCAGGCTGTAGCCAACTTCAGGACACCCAGGAACTGGGGCAATTCCAGTCACCGTGGTCCACCAGGAAAAGGCTCAAAGCCCACCTTCTCACTTTATCTCCACCGTCTCCCAAAGACGCCAGACCAAGAGGTGCCACATAAGGCTCAGGAATCTAGTGCCTGTAACGGATTTAGTAGTGATGTCTCCACAACAGCATGTGATATATGATTAAAACAATAAAGCATTCATTGAGGTTAAGGCTCTTACCCAGTGTTTCATCCACATTCTGGGTGGCATCAAAATAATTCTAAACTTGAGTGCTGAGACCTTTGACTTCCAATTGTTGCAGTCACCTCTCAAAATTCAGGTTCATGTGCCCAATAAACTAGTTAGCCAAAACATTGAAACACCAGCCTTTGGAGACAGAGAAAGTTTTCTTTGATTTGACAGAAGTGAGAGGACAGAGAGCAAGATGTCCCAAATCCGTCTCTCCCAAAAAGCAACACAGGGAGTTTTTTGTGTGGCTAAGGACTAAGCCAGTGGGACAGGGGAAGCTTCAGGAAACAGAGAGAGAAGTCCATTTTCTTTAGTCACAAAAAAAACAAAACACCGCTTTTTTTGTAACAGGATCCTTGTGGCCCTGGAGTTATCTCCAGCTTGACAAAGAAATAGCACATGAGCAACACAAAATTGTATTGTGAGAGAAGGGGCGCTTGGGTTGAACAGCCAGGATTCTGCCAACTATCTCACAATTGTGCGTCAGTGACATCTGAAAAGCAAAAAGCAGAAACTAGACATTATGTAACTATCACATTGTTTAAGTTATTGTTGTTTTGCACTTAATTGGCTTCATTATCCTATTACCTGGGACAAAGCGTACTTTTAAACATTTCTCCTGGAGCTTGCTCTGCGGGAGATCCTTCACAATATGACTGACATATTTTCTTAATCTTGGACTATAAGCCCCCTGACAATGGACAAGGAGATACCTGATTGGTGTTTCTCTTATATCGGTCAAAGGCAAAGCAAACTACAGTCCTTAGTTCATCCTAGTTTGACACCTGTGTTGGTGGCCAGAGCGGTTTCATGCCTAGGACACATTAAAAAAAAGATTCCTGGACTATAAGTGACATGACAACCAAAGCAATTGAATCATTTTGTTAAAGACTATATCTCTATACTTACATCCTAATTAAGAATTTAATTACTTAGTTCTAGCTGCCAAAAATACTAGGGGCATTAAAACAACAAGAGGCTTGGCTCCACACGGGCCTCCTCTCGTGTCCTTGGCCCCTCTCGTATCCCCTTATTCTGAGTTGAGCCCCAGCTCCTCTCCCCATCTCCAGTTCTCCGCCTCTACAACTGTAAACTCCAAGACATGCTTGGAACTTAGGTCCTTAGATAAAGGCAACTGTGGCAAGCAACATGCTCAGTGCTTTTCCATGTAACTGAAGCCACCCTGACATACATGTTCTAATGTTGCTTCATTTTATAGAAGAGGAAAACTGATTTTCTAAGACATTCAGTAACTTGGCTGAGGTCACAAATGCTAGTCTAGGGGGTCAAAACCTAAGATATCTAACCTCAAGTCTTCCTGCTTCTTCTGTGCTCAGCAGCTTCATCTTACTCTTATGTTCCTGCAACAGTGATTCACTTTGGAAACATTCAGGACAAATATGTTGAATGTTTGAATAAATGAAGTTCTCAGAGTACACAGGTCAAGGCCGCATGGTCTCTTCTCATTCCTTTCCCATTTCCCTGGTTTTTCTTTGCCTGGAAGCACTGAGGGATGAGGGGGCAAATAGATGGAGTCAATACTAATGAGGCCTTTCAGACATGAGACCTAAGAAGGCCTACCTTTTCGCAGTGACCTCATCTGAATTTTATCTCTAAGGGACTTCTTGGGGGTATAAGTAAATGCCCAGAGGGCCACAGGAAGTGCCCAGGTAGCTAGGAGGTAAAAGGCCAGTTCATCACCAAAACAACAAGGGGCCTTTAGGAAGGCCTTCAGAGCCAGCTGAGACAGCGCCATTCTGCCCTTCTACAGGGTCTGCGATTTTATCCTACGTGTAGGCTAGTAAGTTCTCCTGCCACCATTTCATGAATGTTGGCAGAAGACACTAGATTCATGGCTTAGAGACAAAGGGTTTTTTTACCCATGGCACTGTAAGCAGCATGAGCACCCCAAGCTCTCAAGTCCCAAGGGGGCAGTGCAGAAGGACCCAGGTGGATACTGTGCATGCAGTGGGCTTCCATTGCAGCTGAGGAACATTGAGCTCAGAGAATATACCAATTCTATAGAAAGGTCACTCTTATTTTGGAGGTTGGGGGAGCACCTCATCCCTCAAGATTCCCTGCTAAAATACACCTCTGCGAAACAGCCCAGGCAAAGAGCGGTGCGGGCCTTGCATCCTGAGCACTCCCAGCAGGAAAGTGCAGGCAGGCCACGTCAGAGTGCTCTCCCAGCACCGACTCGTCTAGAGCCCACTCAGCTCCAGGCGACAGTGGCTATCTGTCACCTTCCTCACTTGGAGCCCAGCTCCACAGGGGCCACAGTTTCACTGAGTCCCCCTCTCTCACTGCACACCTGAAGTTCACGTGCTTTAAACAACCGCTTTGTAGCAGCTCTGAAACCTGCTGCATCAGACCCAAGCTCTGCCCTAGGTGAACCTGAAGAGAAGCTTAGGGACTGTCTTAGTCCATTCTGGCTGTTATAACAAAAATACCACAGATGGAGGGCTTACAAATGACAGAAATTTACTTCTCACAATTCTGGAGACTGGGATGTCCAACATCAACATGCCTGCAGGTCTGGTAGATTTGGGTCCCCTTACTGGTTCATAGACTGCGAATTTCTTGCTATGTCCTACCATGGCAGCAGGGGCAAGAGTACTCTTTAGGGTCTTTTTTATAAGGGTACTAATGCAATTTATGAGGGCTCCACCCTCATCACCTCATCATCTTCCAAAGGTTCCCATCTCCAAACACCATCACATTGGGGATTAGGTCTCAACATGAATTGGGGGAGGAAACAAATGTTTAGTCCATAGCAGGGACCATGACTACATCCAAGGAAATGCAACAGCTGACTGACGGTGGTTGCGTACAGAGGTTGGCTTTTTCCTGGATTATATATTCTGGAGGTTGGTGCCATCGACTATGTAGAGAGGAAGTAATTTTTAAAAAAATAATTATAGATTCACAGGAAGTTGCAAAGAGAGGACAAAGAGGTCCCAATGTACCTTTCACCCAATTTGTGCCAATGGTTACATTTTACATATTTGTAATATACTACCAACATCAGAAATTGAACATTGGCGCACTCATATGTATGTTCAGATTCTAATACCCCCACCACTGCAAGCACACAGAGCCATCCCATCACCACAAGACATCTCTTCTGCCAGCCGCTGACAGTCGGTCACCCCCACTCCACTCTGTATCTCCCAACATTCCCGACCCCTGGAAACTACTAATCTGTTTTTCTAGAATGTTATGTAAATGGAATCATATTTTATGTGGCCTTTTGAGATTGATTTCTCATTCTGTGTAATTCCCTGAGCTCTATCCAGTTATTGTCTGTGTCAATAATTCATTTGCTTTTATTGCTGAGCAGCATTCTGTGCTGTGGGTGCCACAATTGATTTAACCATTCACCTCCTAAGGGCAATTTAGCTGTTTCCTGTTTGGGGGCTGTTACAGATAAAGGTGCTACGAACATTTGTGTACAGGTTTTTTTGTGTGTGAACTTGTTTTCATTTTGGGGGGATAAATGCCTAAAAATGTCATTGTTGGGTTGTAGGGTAAATTCTTGTTTAGTTTCATAAAAAATGTCCAGACTCATTCCAAGAGTGGCTAGAACATTTTATATTCCCACCAGCAATGAGTGATGCAGTTCCTCTTTAATCTTGCTAGCATTTGACGTTGTCACTACTTTTTATTTTAGCCATTTTTAAAAATATGTCGTGATGTCTCATTGTGATTTTAATTTGCACTTCAACAATATTGAACATCAATCTCCTTTCATGTCTTTGGTTCATTTTCTAATTGAATTATTTGTTTTTTACCATTGAGTTTTGAGAATTCTCTATATATCTGAGACATGAGTCTTTTGCCAAATATGTAGTTTGCAATTTTTTCCTGCCTGTGGTTTGTTTTTTCATCCTCTTAACAAGGCCTTTTGCAGAATGAGCTTTTAATTTTGATGAGGTCTGATAGAATGATGTTTCCTTTTATGGATCATGCTTTTGTTGCCATTCCTAAAAAACTCTTCACTAAGCCCTAGGTCCTGAAAGTTTTCTCCTACATTTTTAAAAAGTTTTATAGTTTTATTTGTTACGTTTGATCTATGATTCATTTTGACTTGATTTTTATGTAAGATGTGAGCATTTTTAATTTATCTAATAAATTTTATATACCCATGGTAGAAAAATCAACATATGCATGAAAGTACAACAAAAAAAAATTTTTAATTACATAATCCTACCACTTACCAAAAATCACAGGTGCATTTGAGTGTTTGTCCTTCTTGCTTTCTTTCCTTTTTCCTTTTGTTCTTATATACAGGGTGGGGCAAAAGTAGGTTTGGAGTTAATCATATGAAAAATAATATAATGATTAACAAATAAAAATAAAAGAATGAACTCTGTGTTTCACTTACTCACAGTGTAAACCTACTTTTGCCCTCACCCCTATATGTTTAGATTCCTTTCCATTACTTTTGAAGATGAGGAAAGATTTCAAAAAGAAAATTAAAGATTAGCTGGAATTTTATTCTTTTTCTTCCTTCCATCGACCAGTTTTTCAGGTAAGAAAACTACGGCTTAGAGAAGATAAACGTGTGTTCAGCTAGAAAGGCCCAGCCAGCCACTGACCTCAGCCCTGCCTGGCTGCCCACCCGGCCAGCACCCCTGGCGCTCAGCTCCACACTAGGCTGGCTTAAAACAAAGACTGTCAGTCAGTAGGGCGCAGTGAAGCAGAGGACAGGCTACAAGCCACAAGAACGTAGAGTGTATCTTGACACAGCCCTGACCTGGAAAAGGTGCCCAGGGAAAAAATGAATACTTTGAAGAACAACAAATTAGGCACAGAGGCTCAGAATATTATACTAATGTTAAGAATATAGAGCCTAAATATGATTCAAATGGTTTCATTATTAAAACACAATAATGTTCCAAAGGCGTCACAATAGAAAAATCAGCAATGAAAATTCCTAAAATAAAAATTTTCTAAAAGTTTTTGAATGTGGACTGGCATATAACGACAGGTTAATGTTGATTTTCTTAGATGTAGCATGAGGTAGTAGAACGATGTCTGCAGCTTTTAAATAGGTGGGAGGCTGGGAAAACTATCACTTATCTATCGTCTATCTATTTGCCTGCCAATTGAGCAAGAGAGGCAGCAATGTGGCAAAAATATTAACCAATGTTGTATGTAGGTAGAGAAAACACCAGTGTTCGTTGTGTCATTATTTTTACTATGTAAATGTATGTTCAAGTTAAAAAGTAGATGTGGAGGTGGGGAGAATTGACTTCTTTCCATAACGACAATTGCCTGGGCCGTTGTTGGGAGATAAAGCCTTCCTAAATCGCCCGGTAGGTGACATGTGCCATTCTAATGGCCTTCTGGACACTTGTGGAGACTTTAAAAAAATTATTTTATAAGAATTTATTTGATCCGAACTGATGACATACCAGTCAGCAGGATCTCCAGTGCTCCCCGGAGACTGTTCGATCCCACTATTGGAAGACCAGGCGCTTGTGGCAGTCTCAGGGTAAACTTCTTGGATCATTTAGAGTTGCCGTCATCTTTCTTTCCTTCCTAGTTAACATATTGTAGAAGTAGAATAACGTTCTACACGCAGGCGAAGCTCGTTAACCACAATAACACTCAGTCATGGTAACAGCTTTCTTCGGAAAGAGAAAAGTACAGAATAAACAACAACGGAAAAAAACCAAACAAACAACAAAAAATGTCTCTTCCCTGACCGGGAATCGAACCCGGGCCGCGGCGGTGAGAGCGCCGAATCCTAACCACTAGACCACCAGGGACGACACAGCAACCTGCCTTCTAATAAACTATACTAAGTTTCTAATACGGGAAGTAACTCGTGGCTGTAGTTGTGATTGGATGAAATTCGGATGCCTAGACCGCCTCTTTCTCCGCCCCTGGCAGCCTCGGGTAAACATCTGATAGACAGCGGCAGTTGGCGGGGCGCCCGACGGTGGAGGTCTCGAAAGATGAGAAGACACGAGGGACTGGAGGAAAATAGGAAGGGGTTCCCCTGGAGGGGCGGGGGAAAAGTGAAAAAGCATGTGTCAGAAGTGGGATTCGAACCCACGCCTCCATTCGGAGACCAGAAAGCCCGCAGGCAAGGAACTACCTTGAGTCTGGCGCCTTAGACCACTCGGCCATCCTGACACCGCTCTCAGCAAGCCCGAAAGCAGCCTACTACCCGTACTAGGCCTACTACAGAGGCTGCTGGATTTCTCCTGGCCCGACCGCCCCAGAAACCTGGGGGCCTTTCTGCTCGGGAGAGCCAGACGCTGTACAAGCAGAGGTCCAGCATCTGGGGCCGACAGGACGCCAGGCAACAGCGCACTACTGATCCCCTCCGTGTCTCATCGCCTTGGACCCCTGGCTGCAAAGGAGGTCTTGGGTACTGGGAGGGCAGAGGGAACGCAACTCTTTTGGCGGTCCAGCCGGCCTCGGACTTCCGGCCCGCACGACTTCTGTGCGCCGCGGAGGCCCCGCGCCCCCAGAGGAAGGGGAGACAAAATTCGCTACAGGAGCCCGTGGTCCCGCAGAGCAGAGTGAAATAGGCAATTAAGGTGCTGGCAACGAGGAGCTCTGCGAAGAACGCAGGAAGGAGGGTACAGGGTGCAAGCGGCTCAGAGCCGCTGGGGACGAGCCTTTGGAGTTCAACACACCATCCGAGGAATCGAGCAGCAGTTCCCTACCGGTGCAGCGCCAGTGGGAGGCGTAAATTTGAAAGTTGTCAGCCAATCGCTGGTGTCAAGGCCACGAAACCTGGTGAGCTCACCAAGAAAGTGCGTGTAAAGGACAGGGACTGAGCCCTAGGACACTCGGAGACTTTGAGAAAGGAGAGGAAGCATTATGGAAGGCTGGGAAAGAGTGCCCAGTGAGGAGGAACGACACAGGGCAGCGTGCTGTTGCGGAGGCCGCGTGGAGGAGTGTGGACACGGAAGGTCCAGTGCTGCAGAGAGGGAGGAAGTTGAGGACCCGGTGGAGCAGGGCTCTGCGGAGGAGGGAGGACAAGCGAGATGGTGGCAGCACCTGTGAATGTCCTTTGGGAGGAGGTCTCCTGTAAAGGGAACCAGCAAAATGGAATGCCAACTGCAGGAGACCGTAAGACTAAGGAAGGATTCAGGTTTGTTTTAAAAACAGGTATTACTGGGTGTGCCGTGCTGATGAGAATAATGATTCCGGGTTGCTGGCCTTGTCAACATTCTTGAACCCGTCTGGCTCTGTGGTGAAGCTCGCACAGAAAGTTTCTCATGTCTTTTGATTGTTTTTAAAAACAGGTGAAAGTGACATAAAAGTAACCATTCAAGGTAGTATTTAATACATTCACAGCGCTGTCTACCTCCATCTCTATTTAAGTTCCAGAATATTTTCATTATGCCAAAAGGACACGTTGTACCTATTAAGCAGTTACTCGCTGTCTTACAAGCAACTTGGGCTACTGGAACAAAATACTATAAACTGGGTGACTTAATTAATAGAAATTTATTTTCTCACAGTTTTCAGGACGCTGTCCTCATGATTGCCTCTAAATCTACTTCCCAAAGGCTCCATCATAAAATTTTGCTGAGCCGCATTCTGTGGAGGTTAGGACTTCAATATGTAAATTTGGGGGATGGGGCACAAGTCCGTAGTACTTCCCATTCCTCCCTTCCCTTAGCTCCTGGCAATCACGAATTTGCTTTTTATGTCTATGAATTTATCTATTCTGGATATTTCATGTAAATGGAGTCACACAGCATATGATATGACCTCTTATGTGGGATTACTTTTACTTAGCATACGCCCTAAGTGTTCATCCATATTGTACAATAGCATTAATCAGTACTTTATTCCTTTTTAGGGCTGAATAATATTCCATTGTATGGGCATACCACCATCTGTACATGGATAGACATCTGGGCAACTTAAGTTATTATAAATAGTGTTCCTATGGACATATATGTAAATGTGTTAAAGTACCTGTTTTCAATTCTAGGAACACATTGCTGTCAATAGTAATTCTATATGAAACATTTTGAGGAACCAGCAGACTACAACAGGTCCTCAAATAACGTCGTTTAGCTCAATGTCATTTCCTTAAAGTGTTAATGAGATGCCTAGGAACCTAACTATTGTTTATATCAATTAGCCTGTGGCAAAAATTGGTTTCATTTCATGTACTTTCACTTAAAGTCACAAAACCTATTAACAACATCAAATGCAGACTTTTCCACAGTGGCTGCACCATTTTACAGCTCACTAGGAAAGTATAAGGACTCCTATTTTCATTGTTGTTTTTTTTTTAAGATTTTATTTATTTATTTTTAGAGAGGGGAAGGGAGGGAGAAAGACAGGGAAAGAAACATCAGTGTGGTTGCATTTCAGGCACCTGTCGCTGGGGACCTGGCCTGCATCCCAGGCGTGTGCCCCGACTGGGAATCAAACCAGCGACCGTTTGGGTCACAGGCCAGCACGCAATCCACTGCGCCACACCAGCCAGGCCTGCTCCTCCCTCCTCCCTCTTCCCTCCTCCCTCCTCCCTCCTCCCTCCTTCCTTCCTCCTCCTGCCATCACAATGGTACCTCATTATGATTTTCATTTGCATTTCCCTCAAAATTAATATCTTTTCATGTGCTCATTGGCAAATTTCATGTCTCCTTTAGAGAAATGTCTCTTTGTCCATCTATTTATTTTAAATTTTTTAATTACAATTTATATTAAAAATTATTTTGCTAAGACAACCATATACTTTACAAAGTGTTCCCTCTGATATTTCAAGCACTGAACTGGAAACACATAGTTATTACAAGATCATTGACTATACTTCCTATGCTGTACTTTACATCCCCCTGGCCGTTTTACAACTACTAATCTGTACTTCAGCCCTTCATCTTTTTCACCCAGCCCCCCAACCCATCACCCCTTTGCCGACCATCAGTCTGTTCTTTGTATCTATAAATCTGTTTCTGTTTTGTTTATATTGTTCTTTAGATACACATAAATGAAGTTATTTAGTATTTGTTTTTCTCAGAATGACTTATTGCACTGTGCATAATAAACACCCTCTAGGTCCATGCACACTACCGTGAATGGTTAAGATTTTGTTCTTTTTTCTGTATTGGAGAAATATTCTACCATATATATGTAACACAGCTTTATTTTCTCACTTTTCTATTGATAGGCACTGGGTTGCTTCCATAGCTTGGCTATGGTAAATAATTCTGCAATGAACATGGGTATGCATATGTTCTTCAAATTAGTGATTTAGGTTTCTTCAGATATAGTCCCAGAAAAGAAATTGCTGGGTCATAAGGCAGATCTATCTGTAATATTTGAGGAACCTCCACACTGCTCTCCACAGTGGCTGCGCTAGTCTGCAGTCCCACCAGCGGTGCGCGAGAGTTCCCTTTTCTCCACAGCCTCGCCAGCACTTGTTTGTTGATTTATTGATGATGGCCACTCTGACAGGCATGAGGCAATATCTCATTGTGGTTTTAATTTGCACTTCTCTGATAATTAGTGACATTGAGCGTCATTTCATATGTGTCTTGGCCATCTGTACGCCCTCTTTGAAGAGTCTATTCAGGTCCTTTGCTCATTTTTTAATTGGATTGTTTGTCTTCCTGGTGTTGAGTGGTGTTAAGTCCCTTATAAATTTTGGATGTTAACCCTTTATCAGATGTATCACTGGCGAATATGTTCTCCTATTCAGTGGGTATATTTTCATTTTGTTGATGGTTTCCTTTGCTGTTTAAATACTTTTTAGCTTGTAGTTAGTTACATTTGTTTATTTTTTCTTTTGTTTTTCTTGCCTGAGAAGATATATCAGAGTAAGAGAAATGTCTGAGATTTTATTGTCTATATTTTCTTTTAGGATTTTTTTATGGTTTCAAATCTTACATTTAAGTCTTTAATATATTTTGAGTTTATTCTTTTATATGATATAAGAAAGTGGTCTAATTTCATTTTTTCTCACTCATCTGTCCAATTTTCTCAACACTATTTATTGAATAGACTTTCTTTACTTCCTTGTATGTTCCTGCTGCCTTTGTCACATATCAATTGACTATATAGGCACAGGTTTATTTCTGGGTTCTCTAGTCTGTTCCATTTATCTATATGTCTGTTTTTATGCCAATACAATGCTGTTTTGATTACTATGATCTTGTAGAATAGTTTGGTATCAGGTAGCCTGTTACCATCAACTTTGTTCTTCTTTCTCAAGATTCCTGTGGCTATTAAGGCTCTTTTGTGGTTCCATACAAATTTTTGGATTATTTATTCTAGGTCTGTGAAATATGCTATTGGTACTTTCATAGGAAATGCATTGAATCTATAGATTGCTTTGGGTAGTATGGGCATTTAATAATATTAATTCCTCCTATCCTTGAGCACAGCATATGCTATCATTTATTTGTTTCTTCTTCAATTTCTTCAGTATCTTACTATTTTCCAAGTACAAGTCTTTTACCTCTTTGATTAAATTTATTACCAGGTATTTCATTTTTTTTATGCAGTTGTAAATGGGATTGTTTATATTTTTATACACTAGATTTCTGGAGGTTTATTTTGTATCCTGCTATTTTACTGAATTCATTTATCAGTTCTAGTAGTTTTTTGGTGGCATATTTAGTATTCTCTATATACAGTACTATGTCATCTACAAATTATTAAAAATTTACTTCTTCCTTTTCAATTTGAATGCCTATTGTTTCTTCTTCTTGTCTGTCCATTTTTCAAATTGAGTTGTTTGTCTTTTTATTCTTTACATATTCTGGAGACTACACCTTTGTTATCTATATGACTTGCAATTTTTCTCCCATTCTGCAGGTTGTCTTTTCACTTTCTTCATAATGTCCTTGATGCACATAAGTTTTTAACTTTAATTAAGTGTAATTTATCTACTTTCCTTTTGTTATATCTAAGAATGCATTGCCAAATCCAAGGCCATGAAAATTTACTTCTATTTTTTCCTAATAGTTTTATGATTTTAGCTCTCATGTATAGGTTGTTGGTAAATTTCGAGTTAATTTTTGTACATAGTATGAGTTAGGTGTCCAATTTCATTCTTTGCATTGTTTGCCAGTTGTGCTGACACCATTTGTGAGAGGAGCTATTTTCCTCAGTTGCTCAGAAACGGTTGACCGTAGATAACACGGGTTTACTTCTGGACTCTCAATTCTATTCCAGTGGCCTATGTGCCTATTACTATGCCAGTACCATTCTGTTTTGATTGCTTCTGTTGTCGTTTATGTAGTAAGTTTTGAAATCAGGTAGTGTGAGTCCTCCAACTTTTCCTCCAACTTCTTTTTCTTCAAGAGTGTTCCGGTTATTTGGGGCCCCTAGCAATTCCAGATGCCTTTAAGGATTAGCTCTTCCACTTCTGAAAAAAAATCCACTGGAATTGTGTTAAAGATTGCACTGAGTCTGCACATACCTTTACGTAGTATTGACTCTTAACAACATTGTATTCCAGTCCATTTATTTAGGTCTTTAATTTATTTCAACAATGCTTTATAGTTTTCAATGTACAAGTCTTTTACCTTCTAGATTAAATGTATGAGTACTTTATTCTTTTGAGGCTATTCTAAATTTAATTGTTTTCTATTGTAAATAGAATTACTGGTGCATAGAAACTACTGAATTTTTTTGTTTTCACCTCATGTCCTGAAACTTTGCTAAACTTGTGTATTAACTATAGTAGATTTTTTGTGGATTCTTTGGGACTCTTTATATACAGGATGAGCATGTCATCTGCACTAAAGAATATCTTACTTTTTCCTTTCCAATTTGGATGTCTCTATTCCTTTTTCTTGCCTAATTGTATTGGCTAGAACTTCTTAGTACAGTACTGAATAACAGTGATGAAAGTGGACACCTTTGTCTTGTTTCTGATCCTAAAGAGAAAGCTTTTAATCCTTGCACATGGATTCTGATGTTAGCTCTATGTTTTTTATGCATGCCCTTTATCATGTTAAGGAGGCTTCTTCAATGTTTCTAAATGAATGAGACAAAATTTATAGGCTTACAAAGGAAACTAATTATGTTAAAATTCTGTTATCAAAATACTAAAATTAATTTGTGATATTGTAATATGTGTACTTATTTATTAACACATTAAATAAGCTATAGTAGCATTTGAAT